GAGGTCCTGGCCCCAGCTCTCTGGCTCAGCTCCTGCCACAAAACACAGATTCCAAGGACTCCAATAAGCAAGCCTCACAGAGTAAAGACGAAAGAATGGAGAAAGCAAACACAGCGGCTTCGCAGCTGCTTCTGTGCTCAGTCTGCTGAAGCAGAGGGGAAAAAGAAAAAAAAAAGAAAAAAATCTTTTACCCTTTAAAAACGCCACGCCGCTTTCCTCAGGGCCTGGCACTGTCAAAACCCCTTCATATGCTGTGTTGGTTCCCTCCTTTTCTCTCTCTCTCTCTGTCTTTTTCTTTCTTTCTTTCTTGAGAAAACCAAATAAAGGTTTTACTACATTTTCCCCTAATCTTTGTCTGCCTCCATACGCATTTCACACAGGCACAGAACTAGTTGGGTTTCCTTTGTGGCTAACCACTTTCTGGGGGTCCTGTTCTGAACAGGATTCTGTGTAGTGAGGTTTCAAGGTGCTTACAGACATAGCTCGCTTGCTGAAGAGGCTCTGGAGATGCCGTGTAGGAAAAGAAGGCGGCGAGCATAGATCAGGAGGGAATGACCGAAAGAATTATGTTCCAGTGACGCAGAAAGGACAGCAAGGTGACAAGGGAGCAGAAGTGGGGGAAAGAGCAGCACGGCCCTTGGAATGCCTGGAGTTAAATCGGAGAACCATGGAAGCATTTTACCAACCATGGATGGTAAACTGGTACCATCGTCGGACCATTTTTGCACACCCCTGTCTGGGCCAAAGGAGCAAAGATGGAAACACGATCACAGAAGCTGATCAGGTGAAGTGCCTTGGGGCTCTTTACAGAGAGCCGGGACTTGGGACATGACTTACCTGGAGGATTTTGTTTGTTTCTTTGTTTTGAGACAGAGTCTCACTATGTCGCTCTCGGTGGAGTGCTATGATGTCACAGCTCACAGCAAACTCAAACTCTTAGGCTTAAGCGATTTCTCCTGCCTCAGCCTCCCAAGTAGCTGGGACTACCGGCTCCCGCCACAATGCCCGGCTGTTCTTCTGTTGCAGTTGTCATTGTTGTTCAACAGGCCCAGGCCAGGCTCAAACCCGCCAGCCCTGGTGTATGTGGCCAGTGTCCTAACCAGTGAGCTGCGGGTGCCAAGCCTTACCTGGATGATTTCTTATGCTTTATGGAGCCAACTGTACAAAAGGCCCAGGGATAGGAATTGGGGACTAGATACTACCAGAAATGGATAAAAAGCTTGTGTGTTTATTTCAATGTAAGAGAATAGTCAGATAAAAATGGGACGCTGCTAAGGATGTCTGCGCATCTCAGTAAGGAGTCGACAGACACCTGAAAGGAAAGCCTAAGCCCGCAGCTCAGGTACCTTTTTTTTTTATTCCAATGATTAGTTGGCATTGTAATATGTTCAGTTCAATCCAAAGACGTGCTGGGATCTTGGTATCTGAGAATTCATGCAAGAAGAGAATGTCACCCAACAGAGAACAGCTTCATATAGTGAGGCGGAGAGAACGGGTCCGGATGCTGCGGGGAAAGGTGGTCAGATGCTGAAGGTTGGCGTCTAAGCTCTGTGTGAGCACAGACGTGGTGGCAAGTGGTCCCTTCCAGTGTGTGAGGCTGGCCACTGATGAGTGCCAGAGGCAGTGCCACTCGCAAATCGGAGATGACAGCTGCCAGCGGCTGGAGGGGCGCTGTGGGCTCCAGGTGCCGGCATTTGTCATCCTCTCTGACCTTTGGTTTTTTTAGTCTCACTGTTCCCTTTGCCCAGAATCTCCCCCCACAATACCCTCTCCTCTTGTCAAAGAACTTATCACACAGTTATCACTGCTGATGTATGTGTATATATATCTGCCTTCCC